GGCCCTTCCCAGCCACGGGAGCGGCTACCTTCCCCTGCGACATCAGGAGAGCGGTGCGCGGGTTCATGGCGGCAGGGCGCGGACAGGAAGGGAAGGGCGGCTCTGCCCCGCTCCCACTCACGCTCGGGCTCTCTGTTTGAGGGCCCATACCCGACTCCCAAATCATCCACGCGTCAGCAGGCAGAGAGCTCCGTCGCACCCTGCACGGGGACGGCAGGTCAGGCCGCCGCGTCCTTCCCTCACCTGGCTTGGCCGGTTTAGGTGGAGGCTTGGACATGGCTGGAGCCGAGCTGAGCGCGGGCGGGGTTGTGGCGCGGCGGCGATCGGCTGTGTGCGGGCGGGCGGGCCTCGGTGCGGGCGGCGGCGCAAACCCCGCTCGGAGCTCCCGGGACGGGCGCGCGGCGCCAGCAGTAGCGAGACGCGAGGGCGGATCCTTCCGCTCCGCCGGCCGCAGGCGCCGCGCCGGCCTGGGCGGGACGCAGCCAATCGGCGCGCGCGCTGAGGGTGAGACCCCGCCCCTTCTCCCCGCCGAGGAGGCGGTGAAAGAGGGCGCGCGGCAGGGGCGGGGCTGGGAGGTCAGAGGGGCGCGGCGGCTCCGGGGGCTGCGAGGGGACAGATCCCGCTCCCGATCCCCCTCCCCACCCCGATCCCAATCCGATCCCGGGCGTGTGGCTGGAGCACGGTGCGCGTGGAGCCGGCCTTTCTCGGAGGTACGCGAGCCTTGGGCAGTTCCGTGACAGGACGTGAGAGGCGGGCTCTCCGCTCTGGGCACGCTCCCAGCGTGGTTTAAGTGAAGTGCGAACCTCGGAGACGCTGAAGCGTCGCAGCTGCTGGGAGAGGCGACGGGCGCGCTGACCCCAGGCCCCTCCGCCAACCCCGGTGTGTGTGTGAGCTTGATGCCCGGGAGAGGCGCTCCCTGCCCGGCTCTGGTGGTGCCTGGAAGGAAGCACTCTTCGGTCCCCGTGCCCGCGAGCTTTGACCCGGTATGCTGTTAAAAATGGGGTGACGGCAGTGCTGCGCTAGCGTTGTCATGGGTTTTTGTTTTATTTAGAGATGCTAAACTGAGGCCAGATAAAGTGGTTTAGGGTTTCTGTGTTGCAGCATTGATTAAAAATTTGCCTTTGCAATCTGTGTTATACATTACTCAGAGATCAGAAGAGTTGGTGTTTTTTTTTATGCTAGTGTTTTTTGCCTTAGACTGAGATTAATTTACATGTAGACAAGGACATAAATTGAAGTCCAAAGCTCAACATGTGTGTCCAGTTATTATTTAGTTTGTTACATAGCATCCTTTGCGGGACAAAGGGTAATCCTCTCCAACACAACTCTTACTGATGATTTTTAGAAAAGAGCGGTTTGGTTTTGTTTTTTTGTTATCTGAGTGTCATCACTTTCTGAGAACAGATCATCTGTTTTCACTCTTTGCACTAATAGCCAATATCATAAGCATGCAATTGTCTTTTAACTTGAGAATTACAATATGATTAGAAAACCCAAGTGTACTAACTTAAAAAAACTTGCCAGTGCAAGTAGATGTGCAGCATCGTTACAAAGCCATTGCTATCATATGGGTGATGGCTTGACTAGTCGGTATGTCTGTTGTTGTTGGGTTTTTTCAATATAATAATACATTAAAAAGAACCATGCCAAGATCACATCACAGACTTGTGAAACAGTTGAACGTCCAGTCACTGCACCAAATGCAAAAGGATGTTATTATTTCAGACTCCATAAATGCTTAAAATTTACTTTTCACAGAAATATTGTGTTTTTACTTTCATACTGATGCCCTGGAACAGTCTTTTTTCTAGTATAGTACAGATACTTGTTTATTGGGGTAGGTGAGACAGTTGTGCCTGCTCCATCCTTTCAGGTCTTAGGTGTCATAGACCTTACCTCCTTAAGTGCTACCTAGGAAGACAGAGCAGTTGAAAATAAGGGTGTTTGTCTGGGGTTAAACAGTTACAAATTGATGTGTGCTTATGGAAAGCAATGTTTAACAAATGTTAAACTGTGTTGATGAACCAGACTAGTGGTGCTGCCAAGACAAGCAGCCCTGTTGCTGCCAAGGGAACAACCTGTCCTGCTACATCATACCTTTGCAGATATGTGTAACTGGAGCGAATTTGTTCAGCTCAACACAAATATTCTTCCCCACACTCTTTGCAGAACTATTTTTCAGCAGTGGTCCTTTTCCAGTATAGTTCTCTGCAAACACCTGTTCCAAAAGAAAGTTCAAGGGAAGGAGTTGGGGCAAGACAGGATTGTGTCTTCTGGCAGCTCTGACCACTGAAGGTGTTCAGCCAGCCAGAGCCTCAGGGTTGGTTTCTTGACAGCAGCAGGAGTATGGGTGGCTAAATTAGCCTTTATAGTTTCACTCTGATCTTTTCTGGAGAAAATCAAATGCTACCTAGTCCTTCACAGTGCTAAGTCAGCTAGGATGGCTTAAACAGCCTTTATACTAGTTTTAATGCATTCAGGTTAATCTATAGGAGAGGAGGAGTCCTTGTGTGGTCTGTGCTGTTAGTCCTCACAAGAACGGAGTGGTGAATTACACATTGAATATTACACTGCTGAGACCAGATTCATAGAAGAATCTTTGAAGATACTCTTGGTTATAACTCTTCATGACATTTTAAAAACATCTTTCTTCCCAGGATGTCACTTGTTTCTTTTTTAATGACTGTATTTGCCACCCCAGCCTCTGTTTACCTAGGTTTTTTTATACTATAAGTCCTTGTGCTAGTGACTGTGCTTATCTTTAAGGACTTGAATGATATTAATATTTTTAGAACTGAGTCTCTCAGAGTTCTTTTCAAATGATTAAAATATGGTCAAAGATAAAGTACATTGAAGTTTACATGTGGCATATAAATTGCAGGGGTTTTGTTAGCATTAGAACCAACAGTTGAGGTTCTGACTGTAGCTTTGCAAAAAGAAAAATAATGGACGAAAGGACAGAAATCTTCTCTATAATTGGTATTTCTGAATATGGCAGCTACTTTTCTTGTTGCTGAATTAAGAGTTTTCACTGTCTTCTGTTTTTGACAGTAAAAAGGAAGAACTGAGGAGAAAACAAACAATGAAAGTATTGGTTATTGGCCTTGGAGGGTAAGTATTACAAAATTAAATTTCCTCTACAGCTTAAGACTGGTCTTTCTTTCAGAATGAAGCGATATAATTTCTATTTCTGAATATAAATGTTCTTGAAACTGGATTACAAATACAACATATAATGGTATGATTTTACAGCATGTAATTAACAAATTGCTCTGTCTCTGTCAGAGGTCTCAGGTACAGGTGCCTCTTTCTTGGCACTGCTAGATTTACTGTCTGAAAGCTGTTGGAACATACCAGAAAATTTCTTTAGGTAGAGAGTATTTAATGTGAATAAACTTTTGGGGAAGGAGTTGTATTGTTCCTTTACCTCTAACTATATAGAAATGTATGTGTGAGCTTGTACATCTAATTAAAAGATTAATTTTTGTCTTGATGAAGTTTTCACAATGTTTTTTAACAGTGTAACAAATGGGGGGAAAACCACGCTAGCAGAAAAGCTTAAGAAAATGCTTCCCAACTGTGATATAATCTCTCAAGATGACTTCTTTAAGGTAACAGTATTTATGGAAAGACCTGATAAGGCTTGAGTAGGTTTTAGTATAATTTCTTCTTTTTTCAGTTCTCCTATTGACTATCTTTTAAAATGGATGCTGCTTAAAATAATAGTAACTTCATGAGAAGGAGAAATAAAAGGAGAACTGGGGTAAACTGAAGTCTCAGTAGCCAAACCACTGAGTATACTCAGCAAAAAGAAGATTACTGTCTTCTTTGCTACCCTTTTAAAATAAGGAGCGAGTGTATGTTGGATGCATTTTTCAAGATCTCTTGTGCTAATGAATTTAGTGGTTCTGTGTTAAGCCTACACCCTTACAGCAGTAAGTAGTTCTTTGTCTCCCAAATCAAAGCAGAAAAGCAGCTTGTGTGTTGATGTTGGAGGTGTTTGTTAAGGAGGATGAAGGAGCTCTTATTTCTTAAGTAAAGCTCTAATGAACTTAAGTCATATGCTTTGGAGTATCTGTTGTTCTAGATTAAATAAAGTTTTTGTATTTTAACAGTTTTATGTAGCAATTTAATGGTGAAGATAAATTATATTAATTGGGGTAAAAAAGTGTATAATCCTATGTTTATTAGTGAAGTGTATATATCTGTGACAGTGATCATAAGAGCAGCCTTGAAAAAATTCAATTTTTTCTCCTTCAGCCAGAGTCTGAAGTAGAAACAGATGAACGTGGATTTAAGCTATATGATGGTCAGTAACTTTGAAGCATTGCTTTTGCATATTGTATTGAAATTCTGTTGTGCTGAGCTTCAACATTTTTTCCCCTCCATGCCCTTCTTCTCCTCTAAGCAAGGAACTAAACAAAAGGTTGTTTCAGAGCAATCCTTTGCTCAGTTTCCTTCAGCTCATTGAGAAAACCTGCTTAACTAGTAAATAGCTCAACTTACTGCTTAACCTTTCCTTTTCTCTTTTTAATCTTTTCCTCTGTTTTTACACTTATATCTGGTGCAATAGCAAATGGTACTGTTCAGTTACCTTTGGCTTGTAACACTGGCCTAAGTTTAACCTCATCACTTTCTATGTAATGGATTTTTTTTTTTATTTGATAAGGAACTTATGGGATATCACTACTGAGTTTTCCAAATCAGTCAAAACTGGAGTCTTAACCTGACACCTTTATTTCATTTCAAATCTCACATAAAGAACAAATGTTTTTAAGTTCCTGATTAATGCTGGTTCAATGTGTCAATAAACTTCTAGATCCAGATCCACTTTAGGCCAGTGCTTTGATTCAGGTTACATCTAGTTGTGAACAGTTGCTTTGTGGCTAAATTCTGTTGATACTTGCTGATCACAAAATATGTCAGTCAGAACACTGGTCAGACCCTTCAGTTGTATCTGAAAAATGTTGCTTATGAGCTATGCAGTCTTTGGCTCAACTTGTAAACTTCATGAAAGTGGAATGTGGAACTAGAGAGATAAATTGGATGTTCTGGCTCAAATATCCAGGTTTAATGCTGCTCTTAAAAGCTTTTAAAAATGTATTTGCCTTTATGTCATCTGAAGGCTGCCTTCTTTCTGCCTTTCAGTACTTAATATATTCTTGTGTGTCTACAGACAAAAGCAGGTGTTACATTGTGCTGTTTTGCTTTGTGTGCTGTGCTCCTTTAAATCCATTTGTGCCCACCTTCCATACACCTGAACCTCATAAAAACCTGAAGCACAAAATGTTGAGCATCCACTCCATCTATGACAATTGACAGAAAGGTGGAGGTCTCAGGGTAAGTAAGTTTTCACAAGTTTTGTGGAAGAGGAGAATAGTCCCTGCAATATCTGTCCTGAAGCAAAAAGCTATAAAGTGAGTTCCCAAAATTTTGGGTGTCGTGAAGTTGAGAGAGACTTCAGCCACCAGAAATACCCCAATCCTGGTGAAAGCATTGGTTTCAGGAAATCATCAATTGCAAACATAGGACTACTAATGTGCATGAGATAATATTTGAGGTTCAGATTTAAATTGAACTTCCTTTAAATTTGTATATGGATTATTTGATTCTTACTGATTAACTGAAGGGTACTTAACGGTTCTTTTTTTTTTCTTTTATTCTCTGTGTTTAAGGGATGTCTAACTTTGTTTTCATCTAGCACTTGATGCCCTCTATATGGATGAAATGGTGACAAAGATTCACAATTGGATAAAAAGCCCAGCAAGCTCAGGGGTTGTGACAGAAGAGCCACAGACTGCATGTGACAATGAGAAAAATGTTTATATTTTGATTGTTGAAGGCTTTCTGCTTTACAATTATGAGTAAGCAGTAATATGTAACCTGGTATATTAAAACTGCCGTAAAATGGAAGAGGGAACTAAATATGTTATTATCTTAGGCCACTTAATGAACTTTGGAATAGAAGATACTTTTTGACCCTTCCTTATGAAGAGTGCAAAAGGAGAAGGAGGTAAGATTATTCAGTTATTGTTTAACAAGGGCCACGGTACCCCCTAAACTGGAGTAGTCCTTTTGTACTAGCTTTTCTTCAGTGCTTGCCAAATGTAAGCTATTAAGATCATCTGTCCTCTGTTTGTTTTAGATTTGTTTGTTATAGTTTTTATTTTAGAGCACAGGGATATCAAAGTGTTTAAATGCTT